AACATTACAAAGGGTGATTGGATGGGGAAGGCTAGAATGTTAATTCTTTAAGTTGTTGCCTGCATATAGCCTTATATAGGAACAGGGTCTTTTCCTCAAAATACGTAGGATATAGAGATTAACAATGGAGACTCTATATCATAGCTATGTAAATTAAAAGCTGTAACAAATATGTTAATAAGACCTGGCTGATTTTACACTTGATCACAAGCTAACAAAATGACAGCAGGGTTTAACAGCGTCAAGTATCAGCTAGAGGCACGTGGTCTATGTGTGAATCTCTACTCAATAGAAAACTGAGAAAGTTTCTTAATTTCTTTGGCATCCATCCTCCTAGATGGCCCAGTATTTGTCACACACACACACACACACACACACACACACACACACACACACACACACACACACCATGTTGTATCGGGGTTGTTCTGAACTATTATTACCAAACAACAGAATTCATGTTGTGATGGCCACTTCTGAGACTAAGTCATGACAGGCACCAAGCCTTCCTGCTTTTAATCTTCTTGTTATCCCTTCAAGAGAATGTATCTGCCTTGCTGACTAAAGAGGCTCATAGCATGGAAACTTAGGTCTCTAGCTAAGTACTAGGTGAGTGACCTTGCATAGTATCCTTATCTCTTCTTAGCCTTCCAGGTGACAACCTCAGGAGAGACCCTAAACCATAATCCCAAGGTGACCCACACCCGAATTCCTCACCCATAATCTAGGAGATAATGCTTGTAGCCTCAGGCTTTGGAGAAATTCATTCTTCATGAAGAAGTAACTTTTTTTTTTCAAATAGAAATGATACTAGTACGACTTTCTCCAAGAGTTCTCTTAAGGATTAAATGAGAAATACATGGAAACCCTCAGCCCAAAACAAGGCACACAGAGTGAACACTTGCTGGCACACCTTCTCCCCCACAAAGCAAGCTGCTTCTGTGTTTTTTGCAGCCACCTTTCCCTGGGACCTCGGTAATTAACACTAAAAGCACACCACACCAGCTGTGGACAGTCCCTTTAGGTTGTCATTCTTTGACCATTAACCAGGTGAACAATCCTGACTCTCCATCTCAGATCCCTTTTGAGAGAGGAAGGGATTTCCAAGGCACAGAAAGTTAAGGGGCCACGCTATACCTAGCGAAAAGAAAGCCCAAATTGCTGGCCTGGAAAAGACCAACCACTGATGACAGGAACACTCAGGAAGGCTGACAACAGTCAACTGCGCTTGCTCAGAGCAGGCTATGGAGAATTGTCCTCTGGTATACACAAAGCTCTCTTTCAGGCTCATTTCAACTGGGAATCAATCCTGGATTTTCTCAGGCAGACTTTATAGATGTTATCTTTTCTCTGATGACTCCTTTCTCTTCATATTTGGGTTTTCTTTTAGTACTGGGGGTGGATGGGAAGTTTCTTACCAATTAAAAGAAGGTATTAAGGACATTTACTGTGGAGCAGAGAAAGGGACAAAAGAAGAGGGCTATTTTCATTTCGTAATTAAACTGAATAATAAAGCTATTTGACAACTAAATGTTCCAAATATTACACAGTTATAATAAAGTGCTCCATGGCAGGCAAGGGACAAACTCACCAGGCAGATGGAGGTTAAGTGAGAAGTTTTATTAGAAAGGGGAGGGAGGGGCTAAGTAAAGAGGTAAAGAGACACAGAGAGGACAGAAGAGGAAGACAGGAAAAGTCCTGTCTTCCCCAGGGGAATGGTGGGAAAGAGACCGGAAGCGGGCTGGGTTTTTATTTTAGAGGGTCCTTTGCACCTGCCTGAGGAATACGTTGAAGCTGACCAGGGTACTGCCTGAGTGCACTCTGCCTGGTGACAGAGGGCAGGCCAACATGATGCCTGAATCCTTACACACACTATAAAGTGAAGTAATCACAAATTCTGAATGGCTGTTGGCTATTCTGACAGGCAACACGTGTGTCGATGACATGTTTCGTGGCTGATTCTCTGGGAAATGCAATGTAACTTGTCTCTAACAAGGGAAGTGGAAGTTTGAAGAGTAGCTTTAGCTTTACATACACTACACATATACCAAGCAGTGAAGCTTTATTTTATTCCTAGAGAAGGTGCGGTGCGTTTCTCAGCTAACGTCTGACTTCAGGAAGCTTTTTATCTTTACAAATAAAAAAGACAATAGTCTGAAGTCTCTCCTCCCCAGTTCCCTGTGTTTAGTGCATCTGGTTTTGTTGGCATCAGCATTTCATATGGAAACGCTTGACCTTGTCTCAAACTAACTAGCCTCTCAGGGGAAGAACTTAGGTTTGCTCTTTTCTTCCCCTGTCCTTTTAGCTGTTTAATTCTTCCCATTGCACATATTCTGGGTCTCTTTTGTTTTCAATGAAATCTCCCTCCCCTCTTCTTCTTTCTCCCTCCACAACTCCACTTTCTCTTGCCCTCTCCACTCCTCCCTTCCTGCTTCAACCTTGCCTGAGGTGGTGTGATGTTAACCCTTGGGCATGGGGTGGGTCCCCCTACCCCCCCATCTCACCATCTCACCAGGATGAAGCTGAGTTCCTGTAAGAATCCCTTACTGTGTGGCACAGCCCAGGAAAGGTATTGCTGACCTAGTGGAAATGCTACATGCCTGGGTTGTCATCTCTGTGCCTTAAGATACGGTAAGAGTTGAAACAAGGTGACTTTCGTTTTCTATCTAAAAAATGCAGCAGAATTCAGAAGTAGAAAGAAAGAACAATGTAAGTGTAAGCAAGCTACCAGGAAACCAGGTTTCTATCAGGTCCCCAGGAGGCATTCTCTGCTACCCTCCCCCACACTTTCTTGAGGTTAACCGGTCACAAAAGTGTACTCATTCATATCTGAGTGGAAGCTTCCAGCTTCCAAATTGGGGGCCACCTTCTTTGCTTTTCCTTCCAGTCCACCCTTCTTCCATTATCAAGCCCAGGAGTCCAGGCATGCTCGAAATTCCCCCATATATTAAAGGGGAGGAGACTAGAGAGATAGCTCAGCAGTGCACCAGAAAGCTTGTTGCTCTTGGAGATCAGGGTGTAATTCCCAACACCTACACAATGGCTCTCAAGCATCTGTAACTCCAGTTGCAGGGAATAACTACCCACTCTTGACTTCTACAGGCACCAGGTATCCAAGTGATACCTGGAGCAGGCAAACACTAATACATAAGGGAGAATACACACACACACACACACACACACACACTTACACACACACACACACATACATATATATGTGTATGTGTGTGTGTGTGTGTGTGTGTAACTTCCCATAGCTTTACATCAAGCCCACTCCTTGCTCCCGCTATACCTTCTTTGGCCCTCAGACCTTTAGAATCCCCAAGCACAGAACATGATCATTGTGTGTTGCCACTCAAGCCATGGATGTTTTGTAATGCTTCAAGCTCTTCCAGATTCCCTAGGAGAGTTCCTTCTGGTCCTCTGGGCAGTGTACTCAGGCCTCTCTAGCTTAAATCCTAAGAGTCAGTGAAAGGAGATATGTGAGTCTCCAAGGAAGCCCTCTGCAGCAGAACATCCTTGATATTTTGTTGAGAAAAGGCAGAGTTCATTGAAAGGACACAACCGACCCTCTGGAGTCTGCACACCCTATCTAATAAAATAAAAAGCCTTACAGTTAATGATAATTTGAACAAGCCCCTTGGAAGGCCAGTTCACGACTTGGGCCCCAAGATTATTCATTGCCCATCTCAAGTGGGCTTATCCACAGACCATAATCCCACTAGCTTCCCTTGAGGAAGTTCTGTGGTTACATTTTTTCCTGGGATACCGTGATGCCTCTGTGGTTTTGGGAAGGAAAAAATAAGCTCTCAGGCTCTACTTTGAGATTGTCTGATTCTAGATATGGCTCATCTTTTCCTCACATGGACTTTTGAATGTTACTTAAGTTTTTACTTTTTATTTACTTCGAGATAGTGCCTCGTATCTTCCAGGCTGGCCTTCAGTTCCTTCTGTAGCTGAGGATGGTCTTGAACTTTGGACCCTCCTTAGTTCTGGGACAACAGAACTGCATTGCTTAAAACAATAGTAACCACTGATATCTGAATTCAGTATCATTAGCAGTGGGTTCAATTATTAACCTGTGGTACCTTTGCTCCATCATGAAATGGGATGTTTCTGATAGCTCTACATATGAACTTTCAGTTGTTGCCTTGAAATCTGACTAAGACCACTTGACTACACCTCCACCCAGAGAGGCTCATTCATAGTGTGCAGTGGGTGATTCAGAGTGGCCCACAGGAGAAGAGTCAGAGGAGACCCGCATTCGCTATTCTCACTCCCAGGCATCCAATAGTGGCGTCTGTTTTGTACCAAAAGCTGGAGCTAAACCGGAAGGCTCTGTCTGGTAAGCTGAAAATGCATACAGGAGACTTTCAGTGAAATAACCCACTACAAGCTGGCTGATTCCAGGTCAAGATGTTAGCTGTTACAAGTGGTGGCGATTTAGTGCTGCAGTGTTTCTAAAATGGTCAAATAGTTGCTTCTCCACAACTGAATGTTACAACCAACGAACTCTCATCACACCTGAAGGAAGAAAGTCGCTGGGTTTCCTGTGTTTCTTTTTCTATTTTTTTTCGAAATTATATCATGGGCCTTGCTTGCTCATTTCCCACTCCATTTAAGAAATTCCTGTTGCCACGTTTAAGATTTTCAAAGGACGCCTTATTTCCTTGCAAGACCCACAGCCACATCCTTCTAAAATCAATTTGACATTAAGATGTTTACAATAACATTTAATGAAAAGAAACCGAGCCTTTCTCCCAGTTTCAGGAAGTGTGTGTGTGTTTTACACAACAAAAAGGAAGCCTCAAAGCTTACACCCTAAGCACAGGAGCCCCCCAGAAGTAGCAAAGTTATTTGGAGTCTTGTCAGTCTTCTAGACTATAATCAAGTACACTGGTCCAGGTCCCCAGTAAATTCAACCCACTTTATGCGATCTAATGTCACCTGACCCCATCTCCAATCGCTCTATCATTTTTAAGATGTTGTAAGGTCTCTACCTTTGTTCAGCAGAACCACTGGCACGGTGATGACGGTGACAAGCACAGCTACACCAAGCAGTCCCAGGAGAACCTTCCACGGTGTCTACAAGCAGGTCAGGTTTCGAACAATTAAAAAGAAGCCTTTGTCCCTCCTCTGGGAAGAGGGTTGGGACCTAGGCCCCTTCAGAGGCCGAGGGCTTTGCAGGTGCACCAGAAGACTGGTGGGGTTTGGGGTTCATTCAGGCAGGAACTCTTGAATTTTGGCCCCGAGCATGATCTTGTGATCTTGTTGGCTTCTCTCTTCCCACCCACCCGTCTGAAGCCAAGAGACGGTGCTGCCACGTGCGGTCCACGGGTGATTGTCCCCGATCTCCAAGGCTCAGTACCTGGGTCCCAATAGGATAGTCCACAGATCTAAGAGAGAAGCCAGTGCACGAGACAGGGACCCTTCCTTCACCTGTTAGGACGGCCCCGTGGCGGCTTCCGCCTAATGGTAGCTCCTGGTTGCTTCTAGGAAATCTAGGGCAGTTTGTGGATAGTTTGGTGAAGCAGCACCCACAGCCGGAGCCCGGGGCCAGGGAGATGCGAAGCGGGGTTCACTCACCTTCATGGTCGGGCGGCTCCTCTGAACTGAGCTCTGGGGCTTGAGCGCAGGCAGAAGTTAGCGCGCAGAGACGGACGTCCTGCGCCGCTGCTCTGCACGCAGTCGCCCTGCACTCGCCGCCAAGTTTCGGCCCGAGTTAAACATTAGTTAGCTCCAGGCGGGCTCAGGGTAAAGGCTTCGCTGCACTGAGTAGAGTGGGCTCGGGGCAGCGGACCGAGTGCGGAAGGATCGCTGGGCGAGCCGGGGAGTGGCACGCAGGACGCCAGTGAGTGGGGGGACACGGAGGACAGCGATCCCCGTTTGCTGAAAGGGACATTGCACATTGGGGTTTAACATCTGCTCCCTTGCTTGGACAAACGAGGGAGTTGGGAGCTGAGGTCCAAGAGGGCATGGTGTTTGGCAGATTCACAGCTCACTGCCGAAACTAACTGCCACTTCTCTCTTTCCATGAGAAGTGGCATGTCGTGCTGACAGAAGGAGTTGAGTGCCCATGCGATCAGGCTGGCAAAGGGCACAAAGGGTGATTGGTCACTTTTGAATGACACTTCAGGCTGAATATCTGGACTAATCCTCCCCAGGGAATTTTCAGTTATTTTGTGGGCATCTCCTTATCAAGACACAAAAAATAACATTACCACTTGCATGGAAGTTATTTTAGCATGGCTCTACAGTTTACTGTGTTATTACACAGGGAGGAGGATTATGCACGGGGACACTAAGTCACCCCACCAAGTCACTCTGCCACGAAGTTATGGAGCTTCAATTCAGAGTGCAGGACTCTGACAAAATACCGAAGTCACTTGACCTTGGCTTTTCATGTCTCCACGATTTAAAGGAGCGCATTTCTGTATAAATCATCATCCATTGTGGCATACCATACAAACGGTCTAAAATACATAGAATGTCCTCTTCATTATGTCTTGAGTGTCCGATCTGTTTCTGCCTCCCTCTCCTAACACCTGAAGAAGCTGAGTCAAGATTTACTGGAGTCTTGAGTTGAAGCTGAAGAGGCAGTCTAAGAAAGCCTAAGAGACCTGCTCAGTGCTGTCCCTTGCTCTCAGCACTTGGGGCACTTACAATAGTGGGGCAATTACAGTAGTCTTTACACATCTGCCTTGGGTTTACCCTGTAAGCCTGCACCAAAGGTCATTGGATGGAGTCTATAGAATAGATCATCTTGTTTTCGGGGATAAATCTTCCATTCATACACAACTATTTCCATAGTCAGTGCACATTTTGAGAGACTTTCATGCATCAGTCTTTTGATGTTGTGTTTAGTAAATCCTCAATCAGCTAGTCAACCATTAATCACCACTCGAGTCAGCATAGATGACATTCTGGCCCATCACTCTTTTCCCACACAGAATGGAAAAGCAGATGTACCACTCAAGGCTCTGTGTCTTAGGAAGACTTCCCGAGTGGGACTTTGATATTAGTAGCTATCCCAAAAGCTGTGCCAGCTTTCCTTGCTAAAGAAGGATGCTTCTCTCTACTGTTCTCTGCTCACAGGGCGCTACCCACAAAACCACTGAGGGAAAGCTCTGAGGGGGGAGACATTAACCAGATGGGAGAAGGCCTGACAGAATCTGAGTCTCTGCACCAGTGTTTGTTTTTGCCTGGTGGTATCTGGTGGGCTTGTGTCTTCCACGGAACTTGCCTTTTCTGTCCAGTGGTCCAATGTGTCTACACAGGCCTGCTTAATCATTTAGAAGATCAGGCAAAATTCTGTTCATTGTGGAGATCCCATTTGTGTAGTTGGTGATACCAAGTGAATCTTCTAAAGGTCCTCAATTGGAAATAGGTTCTCTACATGTTAAATAATGAGGACTTAATCCAACATGATTCATATCTTTATAAAATGGGGAAACAGAGACACTCACGGAGGGGAAATGGCATAGAGAGAAGGGGAAGATGGTCACCTAAGAGCCAAAGAGGACAAGAGCAGATATTTCCTTCCAGCCCTCAGAAGGAATGTTCTATATAGGACCCCTTAAGTTCAGACTGCTAGCTTCAAGAACTGGGGAACAAATCACTATTCTTTTAACCACTCAGCTTGTGGTAGCTAGTCTGAGCAGCTCTAGAAAGCTGGTGACTTAATACTTCATGGCTGTGCCTTCAACCTCTCCTGGAACCTGGGAGCAAGGCAGTTGCTGAAATTCAAATAGTAAGCACTCATTTGCCATTGTAGCCACCTGCAAGGAGGTCCCCTATGTTTTGGCATAACTAATATAGTAATGGGGAAATAAGAAATTGGTGGAAGACATGGTACAGAACACCTTTACCCTGAGTACTAAGGAGGCAGAGGCAATGAGTTCAATGTCATACTGAATTCCAGTTAGGCCAGGGCTACACACTGAGACCCTGTCTACAAACACTGGAAGGATGTTGCTCAGGCATTAAAAGCACTTGTTACTCCAGCAGACATGAGTCTCACATGAGAGTCCAAGTACACCCCTTTTCATAGGGCACCCCAAATTTCATATATACTGAGGAAGGCTTGGGAGAGTATTTAAGGTGTGTGCAGTGACAGCATCCTGGGTCAGAATCCTTTCTTGAAAAGACCTGTTTCCACCAGGCTGTGAATTTCCATCCATGGGCTACGAATTTTTTGAGTCTGGAAACTTACTGATAAGACTACCATGATGTGAGTGCTTTCTCCAAAACTGTTGTTGAAATATAATTGGTATCATGACAGTGTTAAGAGGTGGGACATTTAGGAAGTGATTAAGTTGTTGGGGCACTGCCCTCGTGAATATGAATATGAGTCCATGATTGTGGGAGTAGGTTAGAGGTTAGCTCCTGTGAATGGATTAATTATAAAAGAAGAGGGTGGGAACTCTGTGCATTTCCCTGCTCCTCCTCTCACTGTGGGATGCCCTCCACTGTTGTCTGACACAGCAAGGCCTTCATCACTTCTCAGTGTCCAGAACTGTAAGTCAGATAAATTTCTGACGCTTATAATTTATCCAGTCTGTGATATTCTATTATAGTAGCAGAGACTTATGTCAGATTTCTGTCTACCAGACTCTTGACTTTTTTCTGATTGCTTGAGTCAATCCATAACTTAAAATGCTACTATCTATTGACTCCATTGTTAAGTACCTCATATTGTCATGGTTTAGATATTCCCCAAGGTCCACTTTTAGCAACTTTTCTCCGAAGTGATGCTGCTGTGAGGTAGTGGGTAGTGGAGCCTTTAGGTAATGTTCCTCTTGTGGCAGGTGTTTATTTCATGGAAGCATGGCTTCAAAGAGGAATGCAAGTCTCCAGTCTTTCCTTTTAAATTCAACAACCTCCAAAACAAGACAGAGAAACCCTGTCTTTAAAAACAAAAACAAACAACAACAACAACAACAACAACAAAAAGCTTGCTTTCTAGGAATGAGAAAAGCAGTTTAGCTCTTTCCCAATGCTTCCTGTTGTGATACTCTACCTCATTATAAGGCTCAAACAATAGACCCAGTTAGCCATGGGTTGAACTTTCCAAAACTGAACCAACAGAAGCTTTTCTATTTAAAAATTTAGTCTCTCAAGTACTTTGCTATTGCGACAGAAAGTTACATATGCTCATAATGGTGTACCACTTATCATGATGATGATTATTATTATTATTATTATTATTATTATTATAGGCCAGACACTCAGGAATACCACAGAATCCTTGCAACTATTATAGTAATGACTCCTTTGAAGAACCTGAGTTGAAGTTATCTGGAGTGAAGGGCAGAGCAGATGTAAAACAGAAGAAAGAAATACATGCTGCAGTTTTTTCTCCTTTCAATGTCTTGCCTCTCTGTGGCTGAGCCCTGTGTTTGCATAGGGTTGCTCCCTAGGGGATGGACGGGAGCACAAATAGAAATGAACAGAAAAAAAAACCCAGCACAAGCCTAGTTAAGGCTTATTGTTTACTAAACTGTCTCTTTGAGGAGAATGGAAATGTCTCACTTACTCTCTCACCTGTCTCTTCCACTAAACCTCATGTTCTTCTGTGTGCTCCTAGGGTGGAAACTGGAAGCCCAGAGGCAACAGGATGTTACTGTGGAACAAGGAGAGGGAAGAGGCTATATGGCTGCAGGGGGTAGGGAAAATGATGAGGGGCAGAGCATAGGAGCTGCGGGATGGGGATGCTCCTTACTGGACAGTTGTCTCCCTCCAAGCAGGGAACTCTAAGCTTACCCCTGAAGATGAGATCCTGTTGCCACAAAGCAGACCTCCTGTGGGGCTCAGATCAAAGCTCACCTGGTTACCTTCAAGTGCTCAGCAAATACCTGTTAAACCAGCCCCAAGCCTGTCTCCAAGACCTTTGTGCTCTTCTTTTGATGGTGCTCTTTGGAGAGTGTGTGGGTTTCTTAATTTGAATAACTTGCTTACTTCAACCTCTGCCCTTAAGAAATAATTATGCGATTCATGAGAAAATACATTACATTCGTAGAATCTGATTCTTCAAAATGGCTGTAGCTAGGAGGACAGCTCTTCTTTTGTGTTGTCTGAGCGGTACACACTTACACACACACACACTCACACACACACACACAGACACACACACTCACACACACACACACACACACACACACACATGAGAGGGGAGAGTGGTGATGTGAGAGATGTTTATGAGATGTTTATGGATCGGTTTTAGGGCTCGGGTGGTAGGAATGGACTATGGCTCCTAAGATTTAGGGAGAGAAATAGCAAGGATTAATGAAATAGTGCTGGAGCCAGGGACCAAACTAGACTAAAACCCAACCAACCACACAACCAAACAACCAACCAAACAACAACAACAACAAAAACCTCTCAAATTCGGGAGGGGGAGGGAGGCTGGTATATTTTTCTATTCTAAGTGTTAAGTCATGAAATGATTTATAAGAAGACTTCTTGATTTTGTTTATCCTCCTATGAGTAACTAAAATAAGGAAAAAGTACATAATAATGACCAGAATAATAAAGAAGTATGCCATTCATTTTTAGAAAGAATTGTAGTAAATGCACATATCATAAAAATACATGTTGGCATGAGCAAGAGCAAGCCTGACACTGCCCTTCCTCAGCATACAATCTCAACATGTAGGTATGATTCCAGCATGACCATTCCAGTTGCTCTAAATCAATCATGCGTCGGTGTGCTGGCTCCACATGCACGTTGGAAACATGAACCTCTGAGATTCTACAGCTGAGACTCAGTATGTACAAAAACCATATCTGACAGTGAGGCCCCAGACTTACAACCTTTTCTAGAAATCTGCCCAGAATGGTGAAGGTTGCCAGATGGTGACCAGCATCCCCATCTTTGACCTATGCTTCCAACTCAGGTGTTATCAGCAAAGACCCCACATGCTCCTCACATCAACCCTTGTACGTATTGTTTCTAGTGAGCCTGCCTCCTGCTTTCCCATGCCAACAGACTCCATGAGGGAAGACCTCAGCCTTTCTCATTTTCGCTCTAAAGCTTTCACACTCCCCTGCCTGTCTTCGGATGTTGTCAAATCCCGTGTGATGACGGATGATTCCCATGTGACAGTAAGTTGTGAAAAGGCAAGCTTTGCGTGTTTCCCTTCATTCATTTCCATGACACAGAGTGGGGGTGCAGTTCTGGGATCTTACATACCTTAAGATGCCATTGAGGACGCTCCTCTTTAACTGTTCAGCAGCTCATTCTTTGGTCTCTAGGTCCTCTACGCAGCCTAAAAGCTGTGCTTACCTTACCGATTCCCTTCTCTTCTCATTGCCCCCCCCCTCTCTCTCTGTGTGTGTGTGTGTGTGTGTGTGTTTCAAGTCTATTTTACATGTATGTATGTTTTTCTAACATGCATGTCTGTGCACCATGCTGGGAGAAGTCAGAAGAGGACAGCGGATCTCCTGGAACTGAAGACATGGATGCTATAAGCCACACTGTTGATGCTGGGGCCTAAAACCCGGCCTTTGCAAAAGCAGTCAGTGATCTTAACCACCAAACCACCTCTCCAGCCCACCCTACTTTCTCAATAATTCTGATGATATATGTCTAGACCATCGCTAAAATACTTGGTAAAAACCTTCAAAAGCAATCTCATATAAAAAGACAATGTTACTGAATTTATTAAAAATTTATTAAACTTCACGTTCTGGCCAGCTGTTTATCCCTAGTGCACGGACTTTGGGAGCCCATTCCCTGTGAAGTGATGCTGCTCTCTCAGCCTAGATACATGACGCCTAAGCCCTGCAACAGATGATGTGTCCAACTTTGATGATCCCCCATGGGAGGCCTCACCCTCATGGGGGAATGGTGGGGTAGGGGTTGATGGGGGTGGTCATGGGAGGATGGGAGGGAGAGGGAGCTGGGATCAGTATGTCAATTAAGATTGTTTTTAATTTAAATTTTAAAAAATATCCATGTTCTGATGCATACTTTTGAAGATTTCATTAGAGATGTTTCTGTCTTCACAGTTAAGACTCTCTGTTACATCCACCATTATGTCATCCTGAATGTGTTCGCAGGTAAACTACAACTGACCCCAAGGGAAGCTGAAACATGTTCCATGCTTGCTGAAGAGCTACCACGCCCGGCAGCGTACAGATCTCAAGATGAGTCAGGCGTGTCCCCATTATCGAAGGGTTTCCAAACCCACTCACAATTGTAATTTACCCAAGGTTAGCAAGCAAAGCTTAGGAACAAACACCAGAAATAGCCAGGCTCTGAAGGTCTTCCTGAAGGGTTTTCTCAGAATGGGGAACTGGGAGGTCATTGTGTTCATTCTGAATGAGGTAGTTTTTCTGGATCCTTCCTGTAAGTGCCTCACCTTCCATTTCCCTTCCAGCTCTTGCTATCTCTTTTTCAATCTCCTTCCCACGATGATGATTCTCTTTTGTAATACTTTATCTTCTTCAAGGTCAGGACATCTTTCTCCTTTTCTGTATTATCAGATTGTATATATTTCGACCAACGGAGCCTGGGGGAGGTAGATAGGACTGTCCGTACATTTTATTGGAGCCTTAGCTCCGTGGCCCTTCTTGATTCTGAAACCCTGTGCCAAACATACCCTGCACAAACTTCCTTCTCTACCCCGTGAGTGTATTTTACGGAAATAGTCGGTGGACTTCCTGTCTGCCTTATCTTGCTTCCAGGATGACAGCCATACTTTATCAACGTTTGTATTTTTAGAAAAGCCACCCGTGCTGGGCTGAAGTAAACACAACCAATGTGGTCAACACACAGAGACAACTGCAGCCTGAAAGGCATCAAGGAGACGAAAGTGAAGATTTTACAGCCAGACAAGCTTGGCTCTGCCAAGCAGCAATTATCTGCCCTTGGCTTTAAAAGTTTACAACCCAATTCCCTGAGTTGTGGAGGTGTAATGATCCCTGAGTCATCACAGATCTTCCAGAGGTTTCACATACCTCCGTGTACCAGTGGTTTCTCCAGGTAGCTCTCTGATTGGTATCTCTCTCATGGATTGCAAGTCCTGAGAAGGTCCCTATCTGGATGACTCAGAGGCCTATCAAGTGCATCTTAATCATGACCAGCACAAATTCCTTACTCATCAGATACGATCCTTTCCTAGATTATGCCCCCTTGATGAAAAGAACCACCTGCACACTGCCCAAACCAGATCTCCTCGACTGGCAGCTCTCTGTCCCCACAGCTGGACCTCTTCAATAAGTCTCTGATGCATCCTCCAGTCCTTCACCTTGCCTCAGGCCTCCCTTTTTCCCAGCCTGGATCAGTGCCCAGCCTCTTCTGACCGGCCTGTCTTCCTGCCATTGCCCTACAAGGCAGCCTCTGTTACTTCCCTGCTTAAAGCTAGAGTCACTCTCTGCAACAGGACAAAGATTGTTCAAATCCCTTGAGCCATTGTCTGCCAAGTGTCCTCAGAACTCCTCCCCAACCTCAACTAAGCTACACTCTTCCCAGCCTCCTCTCTCTGTGTCTGTCTGGTGTGTGTGTGTGTGTGTGTGTGTGTGTGTGTGTGTGTGTGTGCGCGCGCGTGCGCGTGTACCCGCGCGAGCGCACATGTGTGTCCCTCCCCTCCTCCCTTCCTCCCTTCTTCCTTTGAGACAGGATCACACACAGCTCTTGGCTCCTGAAGCTTAATAAGTGAAGCTTGCCTTGAACTCCTGACCCTCTTCCCTCTCTACTCCAATTTCTTGGATTAAGTCCTGTGCCCACCATGCATAGCTTAAGCTGCTTGCATTTCTAAGAACTAAATACAGCCTCCTTCCCTTTCACTTCAGAACTGTAAAGTATAATGTCTCCCTGCTAGGAATTTTGTTTAGTTTGGCTTTAGTAGACATTCAGAAGTCAGAGGTCATACCTTATAGGAAGGCACGTTTTAGTAGGGTGTTTGGTCACATTGTATCCATAGAGGCTGGTGCCAGAGTAAACACACACACACACACACACACACACACACACACACACCAACATCAAAGCATCCCTTACTGTGTTCTAGACCCAAGCTCTTTGTATGTGTGGTGGTCAGTTTTGACTATGAACTTGACTAGATTAAGAACGTCCTGAGGGTATCCATTTAGGCCTTTTCAGTGGCTTAACCAAAGAAAGGAGATTTGCCTTGAATGTGAGTGTCACCATCACATGGGCGGGGGGGGGGGGGGGGGTAATGGACTGAAAAAAATAAAAACAAAAAAAGGGGAAATGGAGACTACCAGACTGTCAGCTTAGTCCCAGCTTTTCCTCTGGCCCCTCTCCCCACTCTTCCCGATATCCCTGAATCTAAGTACTTTTCTGCCACCGAAGCTGCAAGCCATTCCTGCTGCCACACCTTCCTTGCCCCGGTAGACTGTCCTGAGATTTGAGCAGAACACACCTCCCCACTTAAGTTGCTTTTGGTCAGGGGTTTGGTCACAGTAGTGAAAAAAGCCATTAATCCAGTGTTCTCTTATTTCATCTGTGTCCTAGGTAAGACTGTCTTCTACTGAGGAAATTGTGTCACAGAGAGACAGCCGCTCTCCCCTGCATTCTGCAGATGGCACCTGGACCCAGAGGGCTTGATCTAGAGCACACAGAATTATTTGCTATACATTTTTGCATCCAGTAACCTAAAAGGTGTTTGTTTGTCCATTTGCTGATGTATACTTGAATTAGTGATCGGAACATGCTGGCTGCTTATTAAGAGTTTCCAGGCTCACTAAATGAATAAATGCTGACTCACTTGTGTCTCTACTGCCCAAGGTAGAGGGGCTGGGTTTTATTCCATGTCTTCTCTGCATGTAGCCTAACACATGGCACATTATGAAAAGGTTAAGCCCATCTCTCTGCCTAGTTTCATTGCTGCTAGAGACCCACCTGCCCAAAGATTTGGAAGCTTTGTCTGTGTCTTCTGAGTCTCTCATTGGCGGTAGCACACCATCTACACTGGACTCTATGTGGGTTTTCAGTGTGTAGAAAAGAACATCTGGTCAGCTGCTACTTCACAGCTGGAAAAACAAGTTTCTCCAGAGTCAAACAATTCCATACTGGAGAAAAACAGGGAGGAGACCTTTTGCCTCCTGTGAGTATGTGGGTGGAGGGCTGCCTCATCAAGTTCTTTGAATTCCTTGGAAAAAGATAACACAAAGGAATATCACACAGCATGGAAATACTGGTGGAGGTTATAGAGACTCAAAAATGACTGAAACGTTGAAAACTACAACCCACAGGCTAAAAATAATTGCAGGGGATTTTGAAGAGGAAAAGCCAGGTGGATCAACATTGCAGAGTGCCGAAGGGCAGCGCATAAATGGGATTCCCTTAGGAGGAGGAGAGGAATGGACAGCAGCAGGCTTAGATGCCTCTTGAGGAGCTAGGATGTGGTGGGGGGATAATTGTACTGGATACAAGACAGCTTAAACATAAGCAAAAGCATATAAAAGGGAATCCTCCCTTCCAAGTGATCCAGGCAGAGGGGAGGGGGAAACACCAGTTTCTGGGGAGGGGATGGAGATAGCACATGTACTGTCTATTTTTTCTTTTCTAAATGAACACTTAAAACTCTCAGTACATCTGAAAAGTATTATAATCTTTCTATAGTAGACGTTGGAAAGGTTGAAGTGATGTTGTACACCTACCAGACTTAGGTGGTCAGTCTAGTGTGTCAGCTTTCCAGCATTTGAGAACTGTGGAGGTTAACAGGTCCCAAGGCCTCTGTTCTTCATGACCTTGGTGACTTACTTCAGGCTGTGCCTCACTGTCTTTTCTAAACAGGGCCCTGCAAGCAGTATTGTGAGGTTTGAAGAGGCAGAGACGTAAAATCTTCTGCAGGACTGTGGCTGGCTCGGTGGATACCTGTGGAGTCTTCCTTTGTATTACCATTGTTCCTTTCATTTTTGAGGTCTTGCCATTGCTTCAAGAATAAAGAAACATCAAGATCCATTCTGAAGTCAGGGAGGTCTTTGACTAGAATGGAAGGACAGAGTTGGTTTCCCTGATGGACTCTTGTCAAAAGGGGACTATGAGAAGCATTTGCTCAACAGTTTGTTCAACAACTGATGTTTGGGCTATTGGGAAGGGAGAAGATGATGATGATGATGATGATGTGTGTATGTGTGTGTGTGTATGTAGACAGATAGATAGATACATACATACGTACATACATATATGCATACATACATATATACATACATACATTCTCAACAATGGGTATCCTTGGGGAGGAAAGGGCTTATGGGAAGTATCCTCTCTAATTATGCCATACATGTTCATCTTTCTTGCCTAGGAAGAGTGCTGGGTTTTACTCTTTGTTCTCAGCATGTAGCCTAGCACATGGCACATTATAAAAATGTTAAACCCGTATTTATTTATGGGCAGAAGATACCTGTATTGCTAAATGGGTGTAGTGTTTCATGTTAATATTATCCATAGAAGGTATAAGCAATGAGAGGTTTTATCTGTGAAGGGTGGTCTAGTTTTAGTTACAAAACCTTAGCCTCCTGGAGGCCTTAGTCCTCAGTTATCCGCCTAGTTCTCTCCTCAGAAGCTCAAGGATACTGCACAGGCACAACTTCTCTTGAAATGCTGTCAGGCCCTCCCCTCCCTGTCTTATAATTTCTTTGAAAGGAGTAATCATGACTTTCTCACTTCTCAAAGAAAGTAAAATCTAACCACCTGGATTGGCAAGGTGCTCAGGGCCAAGGATATAGATTGTCCCTTCCCCCCCCCTGAACATTCTGAGTTTCCACCTATTTATTACTGCTGGTAGACATTTTTTAGACAGCTTGTCTTCCTTATTATCTTGAAAGGCATTGATTAGTAAATAGGTCATTTATATTTAGTGGGTTCTCTTTGAAGTTTTATTTAGTTTCAAATAAAATTCACTTGAAACTATACCCAGTCTTTCAAACCATTTGTTTATTCAAAGGAACTTTGAAGTCTGTCCAAAGTGTTCACTGTTTGTACTGTAAAACAAATCAGTCTTTATTGTTTTAGTGGAAACCATAAACATATATAGTCATAGTTCTGAGTCTCATATTTATCCAGTCATCCCTGAGACAGTTCTTCCCTGTAGTCTGGTGAAGACTTTTGATTACTTATTAATAAAATACATGCTTTGTGGATATTGTTTGCCTTTGTCATCCACTAATGATTGGGTTCCCCTTGCTAACTAACCTCTACTGAAGATAAAAGGAGGGAAGGAAAAGCACACATAAAGAGTATATTTGAATCATAAGAAATTGCTCACCCACCAACACTTTGACCTACCAAAATGAACAGGTAATACAGTACAACTACCATATCTAAGGTTTAGTCCCAAGATAACACATTTTACATTATATCAAATATAAATAGAACATTAGAAAATCCTGGCATAGTAAAGTTAAGAAGTTTGAAAATATTATTAATATGCTGGGCAATGGTGGTACACACCTTTAATCCCAGCACTTGGGAGGCAGAGGCAGGTGGATCTCTATGAGTTCAAGGCCAGCTTGATTTACAGAGTGAGTTCCAGGGCAGGCTCCAAAGCTACACTGAGAAACCCTGTCTCGGAAAAAAAAAACAGAAGAAAGAAAATTATTTTAACATATCTGTAAGTGCTGTGCTGAACCAGTGATGGATGAAAAATGATTATTCTATACACAATAACTAAATATGAGTGTGATGATTATGCAAAATATCATAGTTTTCTATAAGGCCAAATCCAATAACATTTTACAAAACAACCCTTTATTATGTTCTCTGAGTCAGGGGTGAGTGAGTTATGTTTAGAAGGCTCAGGGGGTTTTGTATTATCTCATTGAAGAATGCTTGCTTGTCTTGGTTTATCCTGCTATAACAAAGAACCATAGACTGGGTGGCTTACAAACCATCAGATTTAGTTTTCATTATTCTGGATGCTGAAATTCCAAAGCCAGGGTGGGAGCCCTCTGAAGAATTGTGGATGACCTCTGCTGTGTCCTCAAATAGCAGGAAGAGAATGACAGGTTCTTACCTCCTGTTAGAGGATACACTCATATTCATTTTAACTATATTCCCCAAATCTCATCTGCAAACACATTAACATTGGGATGCAGACTTTGACATAAAGTTTGGGAGACACAACATTTAGTTCATTGCAATATTTCATCAAGAAATGTTTTAGGGTCTGGGGAAAGGGCTCACTGGTATAAGAATTTTCTGTAAAACCAGGGGAATCTGAGTTCAAATTCCCAGCACCCACATAAAAGTTGAGCGTGGTCTTGTGTGCCTATAAACTCAGCATTGGGGGATGGAGACAAGAGAATCCTGGGAGCTCACTGCCAGACCAGCTGAAACAGTGAGCTTTGGTTCAATAAAAAGAAAGACTGTCTCAAAGAAGCAAACTGTCCTAGGGTTCCTATTGTTGTGAAGAGACACCATGACCACCACAACTCTTACAAAGGACACACATTTCACTGGGGTGGTTTACATTTTCAGAGGTCTAGTTCGTTGTCATCATGGTGAGACATGGTGTTGGGCTGGAAGACATGGTGCTGGAGAGGTAGCCAAGTGTCCTACATTTGTCTTGGAGGCAACAGGAAGTGATCTGTCTCAGTGGGTGTGGCTTGTGCATATATGAGACCTCAAAGCCCACCTCCACAGTGACACACCCTTCAACAAGGCCACATCTCCTGATAGTGCCACTCTCTGTGGGTCATTTTCTTTCAGACCATCACAAAAACAAACCAACAAGGTAGAGAATAATAGAGGAAGACACCCAGAAACCTCCTCTAGCAGACACCCTCGTGTGCTTGCTCAACACATGTGTATAGATGGGTATGTGCATCTACCTGCACACATGTGTCTGCATCTCCACACAAAACCCCACACACAAATGCATATACCACACGTACATATGCCACACCACATACAAGATGTTTTATTTTTGTATTGCCCTGTGCATGAATGAAATAGCATGTAAGTTAATAAACATGATTGATAATCATTGTAATTAACTGTTATAATGAGAATCTGAAGTAATGAAGCAGTTTGAGGTCATGGCTACTGTCCAAATGTCGTCTCCTCATTTTATATTTGGGTCTCAGGTTCATTAATTATTCACAACTCGGAATTAACCAGTTAACAGTTAACACTCTCTTTCAGCTACCATGCATCTAATAAATGGTCTTAATAAAGGAACTAATTAGTATCTGGTGGCATGGGGCAGCAGCACAAACATAAGGAGAGACCTAACAATATCGCTCATTCCAGAATAAATCTCATTTCTTTGGGAAAGGAAAAATAAAATCGATACTGTAGAATGTCTGCATTTGCCCAGAAAGATATGACTTCACTATTGACACCACAAAGTCTGGCAATGGCCCTTGATCTTTTCAGAGATAAACACCTTAGGATGTTTGGTTGCCTCATTACAAGATACTTTCCTTCTAAATGTTGAAGGTTTTAAAAAGGATGAGCTGTTCTTTAGGGCTATGAGAAGAAACAATTGTCTTTACTGGGGACTGACATTTGCAATAGTTTCCCCATTGAGCTCCATAAGACGGTCTTGACCTATGTAGGTTGTTTGTATGCTTTCCTTTAGGCATAGGATGCCTACAGATGGCACCATTAGGAGACACTTCACCTTACTGGTGGCTAACCTCCAGTGTATTTTTTTTCCTCCCTCAGACCATTTCCCAGAGCTGACCCTTCCACTTCCCAGTCTACAAGGCTACTTAGGATTGACACTACCAGGTCCGTGAGCTGAGCTCCAGGCCTTCAGGCCTCATCCACCTCATCCTCTGTATCTATCACTTCTCAGTTCTCTGCTCAGAAAGATGGTCTTCAAATAGAGAGGCGTGGCCCTCTGGCTTCCAATCTCTCGCCTGTGTTTACTCATGAGTTCCTTTGCAGTATCACTTCTGTCTGCTCATCAGCCCCCGCTTCTTTCTCCCTGTATCCCAGCCATTCCTTCTCACTCTTTTCTCACTCAGGACTCTATTTCAAAAAGCTCCCCAGCAGTACCGTCAAATTCCAGCACACGGCTCACCCTACCTATCTTAAAGCCTTTACTTAGATATCGCTCTCCAGAATTGTTTTCCCTCGTAGCTTCATCCTTCTATCCTTGTGTCACTAACAATGCTATACCCCCATTGCCTTCCTGCTTATCTGAAACTCACCCTAGTCTGCTAGTCTCTGGAGAAAGGGCTCCCCGGTCTGTTTGGATCACTAGTATATTCCCAGCACACACTACCTTACTCAGAATAGATACTAAATATATTCATGCCTACTGAATGAATGAATAAATGAATGAAAAGACAAGCACATAGACACACAGCTGTGTCTTGGGCAGAGCTACTATCATCAAAGACTATGTAGCCTGTTTTACTTTTGGTATGTTATAAAACTATGGGGAATAATTATAAAAAACACAATTTTTAATTAGATCTGGGTTCATGTTACAGTTTTACAATTTACAAGCTGTCATTTTAGGTAATTTATTCAACCTTCCTAAATCTTGTCACATGACTCAGCACAGAAACAAAAGATATATACCTCCTGGGTTGCACTGAGGTTAGAAGCATTAGACATATACTCCAATGGGCAAAGCTATTGACTTCTTTCTTATCTGCTGCTATTTGGTTTACCCAGTCTGTGGACTAGAGATACCTTTCACTACTGATAAGATGGGAAGCTCATACAATTTTAAAACTGTATTGAATATAGCAGTATGCTATGTTCACATTTACTTAAGATAATATTTACAAACTGGGCACGATGGCGCATGCCTGTAATTAAAGCTCTGGGGAGGTGGAGGCCGGAGAAGGGCGATAATAAGACTTTGTTTCAAAAACAAAAACCAGCACGGTGTCAAAAGTATATATATTATAAATGTACATATTTTGTAGAGCATATCTATAATATATAAAATATTTGTAGATCGTGTCTATAAAATATCTTATCCTGCTGTAGAAGTAATC